ATATTAGAAAAGTATCTAGTAAATCATTCTGGCTGTTTTCTGACCCTCTCAAAGGCTGTGACTTTGAATAACAATTTCCAAATGACAATAATGTAGATATTTGTAGCCTTTTATGGTTAAGTTTAAAGCTACACTATCTAATATGGTGACCACCAGCTGCACAGAGCTATTGAGTCCTTGAAATGTGGCTAGTTTGAATTGACATATATTGTAATGACATGTGATAAGATTTTGAAAAAGTACATTTTGAAAAAAAGGTAGAATATGTTATTATTTCTAATAGTTTACACATTGAAATGATAACATTCTAGATATATTGTGTTAAACAACATATACTTTGAAAGTTATTTTTACCTATTTCTTTTTTGGTTTTTAATGTTGGTACTAGAAAATTGTAACTAAGCTGTGCTTATGTTATATATCTATTGTGTAGCACTAGGTCAGAAGTTAAATTGTGGAAACTAGCAAGAAACCACAGTAAAAGAGAGTAATGAATTTGAAATTATCTGTCAGTATTTGTCTGTTGAATGAATTCCATTGATCTAAAGCAGTGATTTTCAACCTGTGTGTCACAGCACATTGGTGTGCCACAAGAATTTTTAAAACATGCAATACCTATTTAGTCGAGGGCACTGACCTCTTTTCCCTTAGATTGCCAAATGAAAAAATAACAATAGCCAACATAACAATAGCCATTTGGTGTAAATGAATCAAAATTATACCTATTTTTGTCAGATCAGCACAAAATATATTTTTTGGTGTGCCACAGAGTTTTAGCAATTAGTTTATATGTGCCATGAGATAAAAAAAATAGTGGGAATCGATGGTCTAAGGTCATAAAACTCTAACATGAAGTGCAGAGAAAGCAATATCTTAGGTTTAGACAACTTAAATAGATATACAGCGAGACACTTGGCCCCCACCATCTGCCATCCATTTACTTAATTGTTAAATTCTAGCACATATGTATAGTGTTCATATATAAAATGACTAGAACATAGCTCCTAAGATGAGATGCAAGAAATACAGTCAGGTTAAAAATCCATACCAATAAAAATTCATCGAAAATGCTCATTTTAAGATATATGCACGATGTAAAATGTTTTAATATTTTATAAATAAATGCAGAAAGATTGTACAAGTATTCAAAATTTCTTAGTATTCTCAGTAAGGGTGAATTGTTAGATAGATTAGTTGTGTATTTCTATAAAAAAAAACAAACTTTAAATACTTTTTTTCTGACATGATTTCAGCATGCAATACAATGCCAGAATAACATTTTAATATAGGAAAGTCTTGAGTTAATTTTCTAATTGAAAATCTAATCATTTGAGCTTTACAATTTATTATACTGATTTTATTTGTCAGATAACTTAAAAGTGTTTTCAAAAATATTCAAATTTGTGGGAATGTCTGTGACTGTTGCTACTGGCTTGTCATTGCTTCTAGGCCATCTCAGCTGACAGAGGAAGGAAATATATGTCTGTATGCTGACCTGTGTTCATACAAATATCTATAAATATTTCTGCATTTAACCATTTGCATCCACATTAAGCTAAACATAACTTCATCCTGATGTTTCCAATTCGAACTCAAGACTAATTCAAACCTCCTGCCCTTAACTTTTCAGTAGCTTCCCAATAGAACAGTGAGACACCTGGCTCCCACCATCTGCCACCCTTTTACTTAATTGTTCAATTCTAGCACATATGCAGTATTTATAGAACTTTAATCTGAATCTACATGAAAAATTACTTTATCAACCAGAGTAAAGCACTTATTATACTTCCTTTTGCCTTAAGTCTGACAGACCCCACCCATTTCCAAAGTTACGTAGGTGAGCAACATTTCCCCCATCTCTTTCAGTGCGGCGGTTTCATATATTTGTAATAGAACTCTATTATTTTTTCACATTCTACATTGCATCCTGGGATCTGCTCATGTACTAAATGATACACTGAAGTTCACTCTGTGCTTTTGTAAAGTTCTATGGGCTTTGGCAAGTGCATGGTGTCTTGTATGCACCATTACAGAGTTACAGAATGACTGCTAGCTCCTCCAAGCCCAAAATCTGCTAAATGCCGAGATTATGTCATACTGCCTCAAAAATATGGTGGCATTTCATTTTACAGTCTTCATTTCTAAATTGTTACTGTACTCTCCCCATAAACCCATGACTCTAATTCCTGAGTAATTTAACACAATCATTCTTTTATCTTTAATGCATGTATCTTGGGACAGAAGGAGAATAATTTCCCTGGCAGATCTGCTTAATCTTTATATTGTAAATGATGGGCTTCATCATCGGAGATGTCAACAGGTAGGTATTGGCCATGATAACATGGACCAGTGAAGAGGCATGCTTGGCAAAGCAGTGGGTCATAGATACACCAACCATGGGAACATAGAGAATCAGAACAGCCAGAATGTGGGACAGACAATTGCCGAGGGCTCAAAGTCTCTCAACCAGGGAGGCTACTCCAGGACACTTCTCAGAATCATTGCATAAGAGAACACAATGAGGAGAGGGTCCATTGCAATAATGAGCAAGACCAGAGCAAAGCCATACTAGCTGTTGAACTGGACGTCATCACAGACCTGTCGAATCATGTCCTGGTGGAGGCAGTAGGAGTGAGAGAGAAGGTGGGAGTGGCAGAAGGGTAGGCACTTGAGCAGGAAAAGGAAGGGGGGAACAGCCAGAACACAGCGGCAAATGACAGCTAACCCGATCCTGCCAATGACTTCACTGGTGAGGATAGTGGCATAATGGAGGGGGTGGCAGATGGCCACATAGTGGTCAAAGGACATGGCCAACAACACAGAAGAGTCCATAAAAGAAAATCTGTGAAGGAAGAAAAAAATTGAGCAAAACAGGCCTCAAAGCTGATCTTACGAATGTTGAACCAGAGGAGCTGCATAACAGTGGGCAGGGTGGTGAGGGTGAGACCCAGGTCAGTCAGGGCCAGCATGGAGAGGAACAGGTGCATGGGCTGGTGGAGGGCTGGCTCTGTGCGGATGACAGTGAGAATGATGGTGTTGCCCACGATGGAGATGGTGTAGAGACAGCAAAAAGGGATGGAGATTCCTTCTTCCATTCTACTACTCCCATTTAGGGCATGTGCCCTAACCTGGAATAAAACTGACGACCTCTTGGTGCTGGGCCCATTAGCGGCTTTTAAATAATGAGGAGAGACAAGGACAGATCCCAAATTGTTTGAGAATTTGTTGTTTTTTAAGTCTATTATGATTAATCTTCCTTTGGGAAATGGCAAAGTCAGGGCCACTTTGATAATTTGATAATTATATATATTTTGAATGTTCTTGTTTTTGTGACAGCAGCAGATTATTGTTGTTATTTTAGTGTATCTGTTCAATGATCCACGATAAAATTAAATTATGTACAGAGGAAAAGAAACCTTTTTAATAACTTAGTCTTAAAAATACATAATTTGGGATGAGCTATTGAATCTGATCTCACAATTTTGGAGAAGATGGGTCATTAGCCCTGGACAACTGATGTGGGTAACTTTCTGGAATTAGTGAATGGAAGAACATACTTTTTATTAAGAACTCTCTATATTCCAAATAGTGGTGTTTCTTTATTTACATTAAAAACTTCTTTCCACAATCCTTATTCCTTACCCTCTGTGACACTATTTACAGTTTTATTGAGAGTGCGTCCTCCTCTTCACTTCATGTTTCTTTAGCAAAAGTATTCCTGCACACCTAAGACAGTTTACCTGCGTTTTCTATGTAAGAGTCATTAATACCAGTATGGAGGCGTAATTGTGTACATTTTACAACCAAAGAAGCTGTGATTCCAAAAAGTTAAACAACTCAGCTCATTTATTAACAAGTCACAATGACTAATTAAAGGTTTGCAACAAAATAGAAGCATAATTTGAACTAGTTCAGAAAACAAGTCCAATCATAACCAAATCTTAGTTGTTTCTACACAGTCACACTCAACATTCAAGCTCATTTTTATGTTTATTCTCTAGAGATAGTCTGTATCATGACTCTTACCTCCATTTACCATCTTCCTTTTTATTGAAGTTTTTTGATGTTGACATTATTGTCCCCCTCCCCCCACTTTGTCCACCCTCACTCACACCAAGGTCCCCCTCCCTTGGCCTTCTCCACACTATTTTCTGAGACTATGGAGTATGCATGTATGTTCTTAGCTAATCCCTTCACCTTCATTATTCAGTCACACCCACCTCCCTCTCCTTGGGCAGCAGCCAGTCTGTGTCATGGGTCCGTGTTTCCAGTTCCATTTTGTTCGTCAAGTTATTTTTTCATTAGAGTCCATGTATTAGTGAGAGCATATGCCATTTACCATCTTCTTTCAACAGTAATTTCCATCTCCATGAATCATAATTCTACCCTTGAGTTTCACTGACCATGGCCGTAAATATTAGTTCAACAGTTTCTCAGAACCTCAAGCAATTTGCACTTTATTTTTGCAATGTTTGGTGTTTATTTTTTCTAAGTAGCCCTGCTATCCACTAATTTGACCTCCTAGATTATGAAGCTTCTCTTTTATTATTGTGGACTGAGATTTCACAAGCACCTATTTTTAATTAAAAGCTGGCATTTGCTTCAGGAATTTTTTACAAAGTGTGAACAGGTTACATTCTCCATATAGTTTCTTATACAGTAATCAGCACTTTAAATTTACAAAGCAGGATTTTATATTTCACCACATCTTAATAACAGTACCTATGTGAAGAAAGCAGAACAGGGATTATATATTTTAAAATATTTTTTTCTCAAAGTCTTGTGGCTTGAAGAGTAAATAAAGTAGGTTAAAAAACTTTAAGTCTTTTAATTTCTAGTAAAAATAAACAAACAATTTCTTTTGTTTTACATTGAAACCTTCTTATACAGCACTGATTCCTTACCCCATCTATGCTACTTAATAGTTTTGATGGTAGTATCCCTGCTCATGACTCCATATATTTATATAAAAGTTCTTCTGTAAACTTAAATTCCAATAGTTAGTGCACTTTTCTCTGGAAGAGTAAACGAAACATTCCCTGGCGGATCTGTTTAGTCTTTACACTATAAATAATGGGGTTCATCACAGGAGGTGCCAACAGGTAGGTATTGGCCATGACGCTGTGGACAAGTGGAGAGGCATGCTTGGCAAAGCGGTGGGTCATAGATAAGCCAACCATGGGAACATAGAGAACCAGCACAGCCAGAATGTGAGATAGACAGTTGTTGAGGGCCCGGAGCCGCTCAGTCCACCTGGCTGTGCCCAAGATACTTTTCAGGATTAGTGAGTAGGACAGCACAATGAGCAGAGGGTCCATCACAATAATGAGCAAGACCAGAGCAAAGCCGTACCAGCTGTTGAACCGGATGTCACCACAGACCAGTCGAATCATGTCCTGGTGGAGGCAGTAGGAGTGAGAGAGAAGGTGGGAGCGGCAGAAGGGCAGGCGTTTGAGCAGGAAAAGGGAAGGAAGAACAGCCAGAACACAGCGGCAAATGACAGCTAACCCGATCCTGCCAATGACTTCCCTGGTGAGGATAGTGGCATAATGGAGGGGGTGGCAGATGGCCACATAGCGGTCAAATGACATGGCCAACAACACAGAAGATTCCATAAAAGAGAATCCGTGAAGGAAGAAAAATTGAGCAAAACAGGCCTCAAAGCTGATCTTACGAATGTTGAACCAGAGGAGCTGCATAACAGTGGGCAGGGTGGTGAGGGTGAGACCCAGGTCAGTCAGGGCCAGCATGGAGAGGAACAGGTGCATGGGCTGGTGGAGGGCTGGCTCTGTGCGGATGACAGTGAGAATGATGGTGTTGCCCATGATGGAGATGGTGTAGAGACAGCAAAAAGGGATGGAGATCCAGATGTGGGAAGCCTCAAAGCCAGGAATGCCCATGAGGATGAAGTAGAAAGGTTCTTTGGTGGTGTTAGTCACCTCCGACATGATGAGTGAATACAAAACCAGAATCTGTGTATTCTGTAAGAAGAATTCCATCAACATGATACTGCCGTGGAGCCTTTATCTATTCAATCCAAGATCTAGTTATGTGTTTGGGGTTTCTTTTTTAACACCACTGAGCCATATACTAGCCAGAGCACTAACAAACAAAACTCTGGACACTTCTGCTATAAGTTTCTTTTTAAAATACCTTATTTCTTCAAGTTTCATGCCAACCACTATGCACTAAAATTTAGCTTTATGCTTCTTGCAACCCTTGTAATTCATTTCCCACCAGCTCTTGTATATGTGTATTTTTTTATAAACATATGCATTTACTAATTGAAACTTTTCCCATCAATATATCAATAACATTCTTATAATCAAATTCAGAGACTTAGTTTATATTTTACATGACACAGAGAAAAATAAGATTCTGCTCACTACTTCCTTCTCTTCTACTGAATGGAGCAATTATTGCAGAGTAAGTTTCCTCGCAATGCCCAGTTCTCTTCATTGAGCAACTATGTAAAACATAGTAACACTTACTGTTACCTGGAGCATTAGAGTAGAAGCAGATTTGGGGGAAATATCACAGGTTCAGTTTGTACAATTGAATTTGATGTTCATAACAGCTATCCTAGAGAAATGACAAGTAAGCAGATAGATATGAGATCCAAGAAGACAGAAAAGAAGCCTGCGGGAGATTGAGGATTCTGAGGCATACTGGCGGTAGCTGACAACCTGGGAGTTGATATGCTAACCTTGGCAAAAAGTTAGGGTGAGAATAGAAAGAAACTGAGCTCAGCTCTATAAAGAAATGTAAAATTTAGCATTTAGGTAGAGGTGGAAGAAGCAGCAAAGGAAACTGAAAAACTGCTCAGAGAAGTGGGTGAAAAACAAAGAAAATAGGAGTCACAGATGCCAAAAAATTAAATGGTATGGTCATCAGACTTTAGTGCTGCTCAGACACTAAATAAAATGAATGCTGAAAAGTGTCTATTCAGTTTAGGGATGTGGATGTCAGAAGTAGCATTTGGAAAGACACTTCAGTAGAATCAAAGAAGAAACTAAATTAAAGTGGTCTGAGTACTGAATTAATTAGAAGTTTTGGAGACAATCATGCAGAACATATGTTCTAAAGAGTGGGGCTATACTACCCCACCGGAAATAAAGGCAAGCTTTTATTCTCTAAATAAAAGAATGAATATAACTTTAGTAAGTGGATAGTTATTAATTTTTGAAATGTTCTGAGAACGAAAGCTGTGGACCTTCTCGTTAGAAAATACACAAAGCAGTTAATGGGTTACTATTCATTTAATCTTTGCATATTCCCCCTAAAACATCCATAAATATCAAACTAAGAATTCTTGAAAAAGCATTAAACTCAAGAATTTAGAAAATAATGTAAGATAAAGTTAGAAAAAATAAAAAAAGAGATAAAATAACTTTTTTAAATTAGAAAAATAAAAATGGATAAAAACATTTAAAAAATTGTTTCTTTGAAAGGATCAATGTAATTTGAAACCCTCTAACAAATTTGATCAAGACAAGAAAACATAGGCAAACATTTAGAAAGAAAATGTAATGGTACAGCCAAAACTGTCGGAAAGTTGCAGAGGCCACTGAGTGATTACCAGTAAAATAGCAAACAATAGGAATGTGTGTGCCTTTAAAACTTAAGCCATCAATCAAAAGACAAGAGGCCAGAGCAAAGGTTTTTAAAACGTCTTAGTTCTGATACTTAATGGATTTGATTGAGGATCTGAGCTATTAAAAACTTCTAAAATATTTTAAATAAAGAACATGCTAATCACAGAGATGTCTGGTCATTTGTAGAAGCATAAAAGAAAGAAAGTCCTAGAGACAAATGGAGGTGGTGTCCACCCAAGCCCTCTGTAAAGACAGCTCTTATTCATGTCCCCAAGAAATGGCATCTTTTTGATGGCTACATGAGGTCATCTAGCTTGGTACTATTTAACATTTAATCATCGACTGCATTCTTGCTCTGATCCAGAAACTCTTGACCATTATTTGGATCCCTACACTAGTTTTTGTTTGGATAATAGGCACAATTTATTTATTTTTTTCATGCATGTGGTACAGTAGAGCCCCCTTATCCTTGGAGGATACTTTTTAAGATCCTCAGTGGATGTCTAAAACCACAGATAGTATTAAACCTTATAATATTATACTATTTTTTTCTATACATACACACCTAGGATAAAGATTAATTTATAAATTAGGCACAGTAAGAGATTAACAACAATAATTAATGGTAAAATCGCACAATTACAACAATATATTGTAATGAAAGTTATGTGGAGGTGTTCTCTTTCTCTGATGACTGATCTGATAACTGAGGGGACCACTCAGTGACTATGGAGCAGGTAGTGTAGACAGCATGGATATGCTGAACAAAGGGGTGATTCAAGTCCAGGGTGAGACAGAGCAAGACAACATGAGATGTCATCATGCTTCTCAGAACGGCATGCAATTAAAACTCATGAACTGTTTATTTTTGGAATTTTATATTTAATATATTTAGACCACAGGTGAATGCAGGTAACTAAAATTGTGAAAAGGGAAACTATACATAAGGTGGGACTACTGTTCTTCCCTTTGTTTTCATATTTCAGTTGCCTTTAGCTTGCTTAGTGTGAAGATTGATAGGAAGATTTATTTGATGTTTATAGAATTATGCTTATGAATTAACGAAGCTAAGACCCTGGGTTTTAAAAACAAATTTACTGGGACTGGGGGTGGGGGTGGGGGCTGTGGGATCAGGGGGAAGGTGTCAATGGGGGAAAAGGAGAAACATCAGTAACAAAAGTAAATAATAAATACATGAATAAATAAAAACAATTTTACTAAGAGTAAAATAATGCCATATGGGTAGGGATTTTTGAGAGTCAAGGCATGAGGCTTTCCTTGTGACTTCCACATAGTTCTTTCAAGCTTTAGTATTTCAAACTTCAGTATGTCCCCTACAAGTAACATGTTTTGTGATCTGGTTGAATGCAGCTGAGGTAATCCAAGTGATATGCTTATTGCTGTGGATGGCAGAGAGCAGGTGGTAGCAACAGTAACAGCAGCAATAACATTTACAGAGAACTTAGTGTGTGCTAGAGACTCCTCTTAGATATTTACTTAACTAATTTAATAATTGCATAAGTAATATATATTATTAAAATTTTTTTTTTATCCTCACCCGAGGACATTCTTGCATTTATCTTCAGATAGAGCAGGAGAGAGAGAGGGAAGAAGAGAGAGAGAAACATAGATATGAGAGAGATACATCAATTGGTTGCCACCCACATAACCCCAACCGGGGCCGGGGACAAACTGCAACCAAGGTATTTGCCCTTAGTGGAAACCAAACCCAGGACTCTCTGGTCTGCAGGCTAACACTCTAACCGCTCAGCCAATCCGGCCAGGGCTATATTATTTTAAATAAGGTACATGTGGTATTGGTGAAGGAGTATTTTTTTTTTCTTTGAATAACTAGGGGAGTTGTTTTTTTTTAAATCCTCACCTGAGGACATGTTTAGAGAGAAGACTGGGGTAGGGGGAGAAGAGAGAAATGTGGATATGAGGAAGAAACATCAATTGGTTGCCTCCAGTAGGCATCAGGGATCAAACCCTCAACCCAGGCATGTGCCCTGACTGGGAATCCAACCAGCAATCTTGTGGTGCACAGAACAATGCTCAACCAACTGAGCCACTCCGGCTGGGCTAGCCAGGGAAGTTTTAATGGAGGAGGTGGTCTATCAACTGTTTATATTTTGAGAAGAAACTCAAAAAGGAATGTAGAGGGGTTAAGATGGGAAATAAGTACTTCAAATGGTTATAGTACATGACAGGAAATGATGTCCTCCAGTCCTCTGTAGCCCTTGACTGTGGGCTTGATTACAGGGGTGCTGAAAACTGAGGCAGAAAAGAGGATGAGAACAGAGTAAGGGCTTTAGAGGACGATAATGGGGCCATCACGTAGCATTAAGTCAGGAAGTGACATCATCTCGTATTTTTTTTTTTTTCTGTATTAATTTTAGAGAAGAAGGGAGAGGGAGAGAGAGATAGAAACATCAGTGAGAGAGAACAGCAATTGGCTGCCTCCTGCATGCAACCTCACTGGGGATTGAGCTCACTACCTGAGCATGTGCCTTAACCAGGAACTGAACTGGCGACCTCTTGTTACATGGGTCAATGATCAACCACTGAGAAACACTAGCCGGGCCCATCATCTCATTTTTAGTTGAGAGAGAGGATGTTGGTTGGGACCAAACAAGGTAGAATTAGGGGAAAATTATACTTTCTAAATAGAAGCAGGTGCTATATATGAGGGTGTGAGTCTGTGAGTGTGCGAGTCTTTATTGCCATACGTGTGTTGGGGGGAATGAGACAAGAAAGAAGACATGATAGATCATTCTGAAGCATATTAAAGAGTACAAAATTTAAGGACTTACACTAAATTTTTTGCCTTGGGACAAATTAAAAGCCAATGGGTATATATCAGGAAAAAAAAAATCAAGTCTTAATATCATTAAAGACCTAATAATAATTTTTCTCTGCTGTAAAGTACTAATCTTTAGTCTTAAGGTAACTCTAACTCTCCAGGTAGTTACAATTTATAGGGACTCTGTACCAGGTATAGGTGGTGAGAACTCCTCCATTAGGTATAGTTTATTGAGATCTTAAGGTTTCTTCCAGCCCTGCTTCTTTGCTTCTGTGACTGGTCCTTGTGTGCTAAGATCTAGATTCAGTAACTGGCAAATATTGATGAATGATTTCTTGACCTTCACACTGGCTTCTCACCTCTCAAGTTTTTACTTGAGGGCATTATAATTCATGAGCCCCTGGCTGGTTCATGCTTGGTTCTGTTCATTCCTCATTAGATGTTTTCATGCTTTCCTTGAACTTACCTCTTTCTGAGATTTACTGAACCATTTGCAGGGCTGAGAGGAGGACAAGTAAAAATAGTAACAGAAAGGATACCTCCCTGAAAAGGCCAATTTTCAGGG